ATTTGACGATTACGTTGAATGCAATGGAAATCAAAACATTTATTGTTAAAATTGTAAAAAATGTATAATTAGTTATCACTTGACAGCGCATAAAAAAAGAAATAAAATTTTTCTTATTATCTGGTACAATAAAAATTAATCATTTAACATCTTTCTGACAAAATAATTTCAATAACAATTTTAACGAAGTGAAAGTCTCACCTGTCCAGCAACTAATGACAATATACTGTATATAAATAGGCATAGCTCCTCCATCTATTTTCCACATAAGTCAGAAATGTAAATTATAATTTTGTAAAGAAATAAATGTTATATAAATGTTAGCGAATAGTTTTATTTNTAGTTTTATTTCGTTATTTTTTATTTCAAATATTCCCCGATTTGTTGTTCAATCAATTTGTGAGCGTTTTTCAAACTCTGGGTATCCGATGGTTTTGAGCCAAACATATCCTGGCAATGGGTGTAGTCATCAATCATCACAGCTTTAGTACTGTTATTGAGGTCTTTAAGGACACTGAGTGCGTGCCAGGGGTCGTCCGACCCGTTAGGGAACACCACGTTTGTAACGTTTGGCTTTAGGCCCCCGTAGTTGGCGTTCGTCCGGTCGACCCCTTTCTGTATACTTTGAGCCGTGAATTCGGGGCCAAATATATCAGTGCACTGTTGGGTATAGTATTCAATGGGAATCAAATTCGCAAACGGACTGTTCGGGAGGTCAGAGGTTTGATAGTAACCGAATTCAGTACACGTTTGATAAGCCCACTGTCGCGCTAGTAATGCATAAATATAAAATGATTGAATATTTAATTTATACATGTAATTAATAAATTAAATGATACTTTGAGATGGTAAATTGTATAATAGAAGTGACTTACAGCCATTGTAATCAATTGTGGTGCGTTTCAACGGTCCAATCAGATCATCATAGGTAACGTTATGACACGGCCCGGGGTGTGGGTCACGACCACCGGCTAATCTCTCCAATGGTGTACCGCCTGAGGGGTCGTTCATTGTCTCAATGATACCGTCGATGCCGTCATTGAAGTACTGAAACGTAACGGCGAACCCGAGGAACAAACCCTCCGCGAAATACCAATTATTTTGTTTATTTTTGCCGTCAAAAGTATCGCAAATATTGAATAATTTGCGTAATTTTGATACACCTTCTGGTGTTTTCAGCAGGTTTTCAATCTCGAGCGATGCGTTTCTATAGGATTTATGTTGTATTTGTGTAAGTAATACCTTAATAAATTAATTATAATAATCGTAGGTTATGTTATACAATATTATATTGTATTATAGTCTATAATTTATAGATAAGATTTTATATTACAAACTCATACAAACTGTACCTAATATTATCGGAACATTTCTTTCCCAACCTCTCGCTCATGACTCCTAAATACCCCGTATTGTCGACCACAGCCTCGACGGGAGCGCTCGAGGCGATGGCACCGACAGCTATGTTGGGGTACTTCTCCCTAAACCAGGCCGCGAGAGCGCCCGCATACGAGCCCCCGAACGCAACCCATTTGCTGCCTTCAAGTGATAACTTTTTGGTCAAATACAGTGCGAACTGTTCCGTGTCTTTCAGTGCCATTTCACTCGACAAGTATTTCATGTTTTCAACCGTGAGGTCTGGTGTGGGCATCGAGTTTCCATAATACCGGTGCTCTAACGTGACGGCCAGTGCGCCATACTTTTCGGCCATTTCAAGCATGAATAAAAAGGGGCTTAAAGTTGCGTCGCCCGCCCCCTCGCCCCCAATCATGAGAAACACTGGTCCACCAGTTTTATGGTAAGTATCGTCCATGAAATAAAACTTTTGATTTAGTTATTAGTATAATTTGCTTATATAATTAACCTACATACATGCCTGTATTAATGTATAATTGAAATTCAAAAATCATTTACCTGTTTGAAAGTTCTATTATCCTGTTTATTAAAATGATCAATTTTCTGGTCATAATATAGCGCATCCATACGAAACTGGTTAGTATTACCAATGATGGGCGGCCTAACCATACCGTACTTGTCTGTCGGTCGACCCCTAAATAATTTAAAGCCCACATTAGGCTCGCAATACACGCAACATATGATTGCAAAAAATAGTATAAAAGTTTTACAATTCATATTTAAAGTATGTTTTGTAACTTTAAGATTATGTAAATATAAACACAGTAATAACACTACTCTATATATCTATATAATTTTCCCAATTAATTAAAAACACTTAAATCCTGTTGGGCAATTATAAAAAATGTCTTGATATTTAAACTTAATGCGTTAGTTTGCTTGGGGTAGTATTTAACATTGATAAGTTTAAAACAATTGATGATTTGATAATTATATAAACAATTCTTAGAATATACGGTCCAGTATAATCAGCGTTCGTCACAGGGGCCGATGAAGTGCCACTGTATTGTAATGGGCTAATGTAATGTCTATGGGTGTATGTAGGCAAAGCCTACTTTTGACGAGTCTTGAGTATAATTATCACAGAGAATAAGTGCACATGTTCACTTATTTCAATTAGTATTGCACCTGTAATTATATCGTGCTGATGAAGGGCAAGGTAGTTAGATAAATCATATGACACAATGATTACTGTACTCAATATCTCAAATTAAATTATCATGTCTGTTTAAACTTATTATGTCCAGTTTATCACAAAACTTCTGGCATACTGTATATATTATATTGTATTATAAAATTATCTACAAACATTTGTATAATGAATAGTGTTTTAGAATAGTTATATCGCAGAAATACCTAAATATATTATATAAAAATCACTAATGTATGACCAATTTATTGAACTATTGATAGTAATAAGAATATATATTCAAAAATATTTAAACCACTATACAATAAAATGTACTAATTTACCAATAATAATAATTTTATTAAACTATTTATTTATTTCAAATAATTAGTGATTTGTTGATCAATTAATTTGTGGGCGTCTTTCAAACTCTGTTTATCAGTTGTTCGCGAGCCATACATATCTCCGCAATGGGAATAGCCTTCAATCATAACAGCTTTGGTACTGTTATTAAGGTCTTTAAGGACACTGAGTGCGTGCCAGGGGTCGAGTGACCCGTTAGGGAACACCACGTTTGTTACGTTTGGCTTTAGTCCCCCGTAATAGGCATTCGTCCGGTCGACAGCTTTCTGTATACTTTGAGCCGTGAATTGTGGGCCATATATGTCAGCGCACTGTTGGATATAAAACTCGACGGGAATGTTGTGTCCGAAGATACTGTTCGGGAGATCAGAGGTTTGATAGTAACCAAATTCAGTGCACGTCTGATAAGTCCATTGTCTCACTAATAATATAATCAAATATAATCATATTTAATAAGAATTAATTAAATAACATAAAATAATTTGGAAATAATAAAAATTTATATAACTTACTCCCCTGGGGATCGATTGATGTCTTTTTCAATGGTCCGATGAGATCCTCATACTTAACATCACTGCAGCCAACTGTATGAGAGCCCACACCGTGTAGTCTGGCATACCTTTCCAGTGGTGTACCGCCTGAGGGGTTGTTCATTGTCTTAACGATGTCAGCGATACCCATATTATACTGAACGTCAACGGCTATACTCCACATCATTTCCTCCGCTAAATACCGATTATTATTGATATTTTTGCCGTCAAAAGTGTCGCATAAATTCAATGTTTTGCGTAATTTTATTACACCTTCCGGTGTTTTTAACAGGTTCTCCATATCAATGTGGGCTTTCCTATAGAATAACATCCAATTTAATAAAATACTAGAATAGTTGCAATAGAATTCACATGTACTGTTCATTACATGTTCTGACAGTACAGTCATTTATGACTTAATATAACAACAGTAAGTTATGTTTAACACAGTATTTTAATAGATATAAAATCTATGTATACCTGATATTGTCGGCGCACTCCTTACCCAAAGACTCGCCAACGACTCCCAAATACCCCATATTGTCGACCGCGGCCTCGACGGGTGCGCTCGACGCTATGGCACCGACAGCTATGTTGGGGTACTTCTCCCTAAACCAAGCAGCTAGATTGCCCGCATACGAGCCCCCGAACACAACCCATTTGTTACCCTGAAGTGATAACTTTTTAATCAAATATAGCGCTAACTGTTCCGTGTCTTTCAGCGCCAATTCACTCGACAAATATTTCAGATTTTCAAGCGTCAGGTCTTTTGTGGGAATGGAGTTTCCGTAATACCGGTGCTCTATCGCTACGGCCAACGCTCCGTACTTTTTGGCCATTTCTCCCATAAACATGCCGTTTACGTAAGATGTGTCGATCGCACCCTCGCCTCCGATCATTAAAAATACTGGTCCACCAGTTTTATGGTGTGAATCATCCACGTAATACAACTTATCATGATATTAATTTCATGATAAATTATATGAATATTTTAATTGTTTAATCATGTAGAATAAAATTTAAATGATTACTAACTAACCTGTTTGAAAGTTTTATTGTTTTGTTTGTCAAAATGGTCAACTTTTTGATCATAATATTGCGCTATCACTTTCAACTGATCACTTTTAGTGACGACCGGCGGCCTAACCATACCGTACTTGTCTGTCGGTCGACCCCTAAATAATTTAAAGCCCACATTAGGCTCGCAATACACGCAACATATGATTGCAAAAAATAATATAAAAGTTTTAGAAATCATATTTAAAGTATGTTTTGTATACTATTAAAGTATATTGAATGCAAATCCATTTCTTTATATATAATAATTTTGTAAATCATTTCATAACTATTGTGTAATTATAATAATTTATTTTTAATCATGATCGTTTGATAATAAGTGCTGTAGTTTTTTTTCTTGGGGGACAGTAGTTAGTTAGTAATATAAAAAGTTCAAAAACAATCAATATAAAATACCAGGAATGATATCTTTAAGAATATATGCACATGTTTAATTTATTTTTAAATAGGCATAACTTATAATGGGCATAAGTATTACAAATAACAAACTATAATTATCAAAACCAGCTATCTTTTGATAACTAGATAACTTTTGTTGCGTTCATTTGTTATTTGCCTATGTAAACCAAATTATGACAATAAGCTTATTAGTAATAAGTTATTACTAAAGGTTCCATTTTCCGGGAGTAAAAACATCTAAATTCGGGAATTGAAAGGCCAAAATCGGGAAAATTCGGGAAATACGATTTTACTCAATTATAACACAATTATTATACATATAAATCATTTGCAAATGAATTATAATTGATAATAGCATAAAATTTGAGCTTTTTAGTCTTTTATTTCTATAAATAATCTTAAACTTATAGAAAGAACGCTAGACTTCAAAGGAGATAATCAATATATATTTTGTAAGACATGTTGTGGATTTTGATTTCAGTTATATTCAGTTTAGAATTTTATTACGAGTTTTGGTGAAATATTATAGTTATTAAATAAATAATTTTCTTCGAAAAATATTTAATTTCGGGAATATTTGTAATAAAAATAGACTTTTCGGGAATTTTCTCAAAAATATGCTAAAATCGGGAATTTTCACAAAATAAGCCAAAATCGGGAAAAATCGGGAAAATAAAACTTATATATTTAACTTATATATTTTTAGTCTATTATAACCCCTAAACCTAATGGTATATAATTCCCGATGATTTTGTTAACTATTTTATTCGGGAATTCCCGAAAAATGGAACCCTTAGTTATTACCTACAAAATACTGTACTAATGTCTAATTTAATGAAGAGCTCATCGTGGGTTAAATATTGCAATTTAGGTTTTATTAATGAGTATATTATACATTGTAGCTTTGCTTTGCAAACCTTGTTAATGAGATCAAAATTAAATATGACATTCGTTGCTAATAATGAAATGTATGGCACCTGTGATCAGATATAAGTGAGCGGTTGGTATCTTTAGAAATACAAATTACCGACAAATAAATTAAAGATAAAGAAGTTAGGATCATAATAAATTATAATGAAATCTGACCAGGGTGCTTGTGTTTAAATGAAAGTAATAGATAAATATTTTCTCCAGGTGTTTTACAAAGGAATATCTATTGATATTATGTTAACTATTAAAACCGAATTAAAACTAAACTAAAACTTAAAATTATAACAACAAATAATGAAAAATTTGTTAGAGAATTAAATACAACTTTTTATAATTATTAAATAATTTGTTTATTTCAAATATTCGCCGATTTGTTGGTCAATTAATTTGTGAGCACTTTTTACGCTTTCGGAGTCGTATGGATTAGAGGCCCACATATCCCCGCAATGACCCCCGCCTTCAATCATCACAGCTTTAGTACTGTTATTAAGGTCTTTAAGGATACCGAGTGAGTGCCAGGGGTCGAGTGACCCGTTAGGGAAGACAACATTTGTCACGTTTGGCTTAAGGGCCCCGTAATAGGCATTCGTCCGGTCGACCGCTTTCTGTATACTTTGTGGCGTAAACTGTGGTCCGTATACCTGAGCGCACTGTTGAGTGTAGTGCTCGACGGGAATGCTGTGACCGAAAGGGCTGTACGGGAGATCGCTTGACTGATAATAACCGAATTCAGTGCACGTCTGATATATCCATTGTCTCACTAATTATTATACATTGTAATAAATTTGTTGTTAATAATTAAAACGTGTTAATACATATAAAAAGCAATATTTGATTACATACTGAAAGCCCAATCCGTTGGGTCTATTGTAATTTTTTTCAAGGGTGCAATTCTGTCCTCGTAGTGGAAGTCGTGACATATAGAGCTGCCTATCATTCCAGACGCTTTGGCATACCTTTCCAATGGTGTGCCGATTAATGTGTCATTCATTATACCGCGGATTTTATCGACGCCAGTCTTAGACATGGCATTGCCAACAATAGTCCACATCATTTGCTCCGCGAGATAATGATTATTATTGACATTTTTACCATCAAAAGTATCGCATAAATGCAATGTTTTGCGTAATTTTATCACACCTTCCGATGATTTCAGGAGCTCTTCCATCTCTAGAGAGGCTTTCCTAACGATTCACACAATAGTATGCATTAAAGTACATACTATTATCAATAATAGTATAATAATTGTACATTTTTATTGATATATTGATACCTTATATTTTCGGAGCACTCCTTTCCCAACGACTCACTCGTGACACCCAAATACTCCATAGCGTCGACCGCCGCTCTAACGGGTGCGCTCGAGGCTATGGCACCGACAGCTATATTAGGGTACTTCTCCCTAAACCAAGCAGCTAGATTGCCCGCATACGAGCCCCCGAACACAACCCATTTGCTGCCTCCAATTGATAACTTTTTCATTAAATACAGCGCAAACTGTTGCGTGTCTTTCAGCGCCATTTCACTCGACAGGTATTTCAAGTTTTGAGTGGACAGGTCTGGTGTGGGCATAGATTTCCCGTAATACCGGTGCTCTAACACCACTGCCAAAGCGCTATACTTTTTGGTCATTTGTCCCATATATGTTGCATTGGAAAGCCGGGATGTGTCGGCTTCCCCCTCACCGCCAATCATGAGAAATACCGGTCCACCAATTTTATGGTGTGAATCATCCACATAATATCGCTAATTATATGTAATAATAATAATTAATAATATGTATAATATTTATTTTTATATATTTATATAATTTTTGTTATATTTATTTATAATTATAAGTTATAACGTACCTGTTTAAAAGTCCTGTTGTCCTGTTTGTTAAAGTGATCAACTTTTTGATCATAAAACTGCTCAGCAATGAACTGATCCCATGTAATAACTGGTGGTCTAACAAAACCGTATCCACCATTTGGTCGACCATTTAATAGTCTTACCCCATCATTGGGTTCACAATAAACATTACTTATAAATACGAAAACTAACAAAATATTATAATTCATATTTTATTTATGTTAAAAAAAACTTTAAATAAAAAATAAGTTATAAAATATATTTCAAGAGAATCTCTTATTTATATACTGTTTTCATATCAATTAATCCGTGTATTAAACACATTGTGTAATTTGTTTTATTTAAAATACTGATATAACGTTAAAATGCATTTATAGTACAATAGTTAGTAGTAAAATTGATATGACCACCTCGAAGAATTGATAACTAAAGAATATGGGAAATTTTCAAAAATTGTGTGTAAATTGAATTTAATACATGACATGTAATCACATGTAATTACATTGAAATCATTACATTATTAAAAGAAATAACAAAAATAGTTGTAGGCCCTGGTTAATCCCATTATCAGAAATTAATAGCACATGTTTATTATCTAATTAAATAAGCAAAATCATTTTCAAAATGTTTTATATAGAATGTATTATGCTAGTTTCCCACAAATTAATAAGGGTAATTGTAAAAAGGTTTGATAATTGAATTAGAGATTTATTTTAAATATTCTCCGATTTGTTCATCAATTAATTTGTGAACGTTTTTTAAACTCTCGGAATCGCTTGGAGTGGAGGCGTAAATATCCCCGCAATGGGAATATTTCCCGCCGGAAATCATGACAGTTTTGGTACTGTTATTGAGGTCTTTAAGGACACTGAGTGCGTGCCAGGGGTCGAGTGACCCGTTAGGGAACATAACGTTAGTCACGTTTGGCTTTAGACCCCCGTAATAGGCATTCGTCCGGTCGACCGCTTCCTGTATGGTTTGAGGCGTGAATTCAGGTCCGTATACTTGAGCGCACTGTTGGGTAAAATACTCGACGGGAATGTTGTGTCCGAAGGGACTGTTTGGGAGATCACTCGACTGATAGTAACCGAATTCAGTGCACGTCTGATAAGTCCATTGCCTCACTAATAATGAATTGAAATAATTTGTTAGTTAATAATTAAGTAACAGAATGTACTTTATTATTAATAATATTATAATAATAAATAAAACACAATATTTAATTACATACTCATTTGAAAACCCATTGGATCTCTGGTTGTGTTTTTCAAGGGTGCGATTCTGTCTTCATACCGGAAATCGTGACATATAGTGCTGTCACTCATATCGCATGCTTTGGCATACCTTTCCAATGGTGTGCCGACTGATGTGTCATTCATTATACCGCGGACCATATCGACGCCAGTCTTGGACATAGCGTTGCCAACAGTAGTAAACATCATTTCCTCCGCGAGATAATGATTATTATTGACATTTTTGCCGTCAAAATTGTCGCATAAATGCAATGTTTTGCGTAATTTTATCACACCTTCCGGTGTTTTCAGGAGCTCTTCCATCTCAATGTGAGCTTTCCTATTGTGTCAACCATTAACTTTCTTATCTTATGTATTACAGTATTACAAATTTTAAAATTTGAATTTATACCTAATATTATCGGAGCACTTCTTTCCCAACGATTCACTCGTAACGCCCAAATACCCCATATTGTCCACTGCGGCCAAAACAGGTGCGCTCGAGGCTATGGCACCGACAGCTATGCTAGGGTACTTCTCCCTAAACCAAGCAGCTAGATTGCCCGCATACGAGCCCCCGAACACAACCCATTTGTTACCTTCAAGTGATAACTTTTTGCTCAAATACAGTGCAAACTGTTGCGTGTCTTTCAGCGCCATTTCACTCGACAGGTATTTCAAGTTTTGAGTGGACAGGTCTGGTGTGGGAATGGATTTTCCGTAATACCGGTGCTCTAAAAGCACAGCCAAAGCGCCGTACTTTTTGGCCATTTCTCCCATATATGTTGCATTTGACACTAACGCTGGAAAGGCCATACCCTCGCCCCCAATCATGAGAAATACCGGTCCACCAGTTTTATGGTTAGAATCATCTACATAATAAAGCTAACATACGTGATGTTAATTATTTTGTATGATTTACTTATTAAAATATAACTTACCTGTTTGAATGTCCTGTTGTCTTGTTTATTAAACTGATCAACCTTTTGATCATAAAACTGTTCCGCAATGAACTGATCCCATGTAATAACTGGTGGTCTAACAAAACCGTATTTATCATTTGGTCGACCATTAAATAGCTTGAAACCTCCATTGGGTTTGCAATTAACATAACAAATGTATGCAAACACTAATAAAATAATATTTAAATTCATTTTATTCATATGTTCTAAGGCTAAAAATGATCAATAATAATATGGAATGTACGTTGTAAAAATTCTATATATAATATATCCTTTTATATACTTTTTGTTTTGTTTAAATACAACATTAGATTTTTGTTAAATCTTTTATAAACGAGTTTTAATCTAATTATCAATTGTTTTTAATTATAAAAATGAGTCATACAATTGTGATAACGCTACTCAACAAAAGGGCATATGTGCTTTATTTCAAAATATTAATGACATGTCTAAGATGTCTTATCGATTTATTCAGTCATATTATCTTAATAAAAGTGATTCACTAGAATTCACTTTTAATTATCTAATTGCACTTTTTATATACCCGCACCCAATTGAATCCATAACGCATTTAATTTTATTTATTTAAATTTAAAATAAAACATAGTATATGGTCTTCATGAGTACTAATGTTAATCCTATTTATCATTTGTATTAAATCTTTAAATAATGCTAACCTAATCTATTTGCATCACCCGAATTGTGGTTAACGTATAGCATTGCTGTGTTAACATTGTTTATAGCAAAACAATTATAACACTAACAAAACTTTATATATTGTATTTAATATTATATTTTACATTATAAATGTGTAGTATTTTTAATAAATATTTTTAAAAAGAAGGAAATAATCATGGAAATAAATTTTATTATTGCAAAATATGTTTGCAAATTAAGCAAAATTGTTCATAATTTATTTAATTGAATTATTAATTTATTTCAAGTATTCGCCGATTTGTTGATCAATTAATTTGTGAGCGTTTTTCAAACTCTCGGAATCGCTTGTAGTGGAGGCATACATATCCTCACAATGACGCCCGCCTTTAATTATAACAGCTATAGTGCTATTATTGAGGTCTTTAAGGATACCGAGTGAGTGCCAGGGGTCGAGTGACCCATTGGGCAACACGACATTTGTCACGTTTGGCTTAAGGGCCCCGTAATAGACATTTGTCCGGTCGACAGCTTTTTGTATGCTTTGTGGCGTGAATTCTGGTCCGTATACCTGAGCGCACTGTTGGGTAAAGTACTCGACGGGAATGTTGTGTCCGAAGGGACTGTTTGGGAGATCACTCGACTGATAGTAACCGAATTCAGTGCACGTCTGATATATCCATTGTCTCACTAATAATAAACGGTAATTTTAATTGTAATAATTGTTTTTATAAATGTAAGTCACCATTATTTCTAACATACTCATTTCAAAGTTTACAAGATCTATGGTTGTGTTTTTCAAGGGTGCTATTCGGTCCGAGTAGTGGTAGTCGTGACATATAGAGCTGCCTATCATTTCGGTCACTTTGCTATACCTTTCCAATGGTGTGCCGACTGAAGGGTCGCTCATTATTTTACCCACGTTTTTGATGCTGTCATCGGAAGTTGCTTTGCCCACAACAGTCCACATCATTTGCTCCGCGAGATAATGATTATTATTGATGTTTTTGCCGTCAAAAGTGTCGCATAAATGCAATATTTTGCGTAATTTTATCACACCTTCCGGTGTTTTCAGGAGCTCTTCAAACTCAAGCGAGGCTTTCCTATTGGTTTACACAATAGGATGTATTACTAATATTAAGTAATAATACAAAGTTATACCTTATATTTTCGGAGCACTCCTTTCCCAACGACTCACTCGTGACACCCAAATACTCCATAGCATCGACTGCCGCTCTAACGGGTGCGCTCGATGCTATGGCACCCACAGCTATATTAGGGTACTTCTCTCTAAACCAGGCCGCGAGGTTACCCGCATACGAGCCCCCGAACACAACCCATTTGTTACCTTCAAGTGATAACTTTTTGGTTAAATACAGTGCAAACTGTTCCGTGTCTTTCAGCGCCATTTAACTCGACAAGTATTTTAAGTTTTGAGTGGACAGGTCTGGTGTGGGCATCGATTTTCCGTAATACCGGTGCTCTAACACCACTGCCAACGCGCCATACTTTTTGGCCATTTGTCCCATATATGTAACATTGGACACCCAAACAGCTGTGGCCACACTCTCACCGCCAATCATGAGAAATACTGGTCCACCAGTTTTATGATGAGTGTCGTCCACATAATAACGCTATACATGTATCTGATGTTAATTATATTGCAAAATATATTGTTATATATTTAAATATGATTTACCTGTTTAAAAGTTCTGTTGTCTTGTTTATTAAAGTGATCAACTTTTTGATCATAAAACTGTTCGGCAATGAACTGATCCCATGTAATCACTGGTGGTCTAACAAAACCGTATCTATCATTTGGTCGACCATTAAATAGTCTTAAATCCTCATTGGGTTCGCAATAAACATAACTTATAAATACAAAAACTAGTAAAATATTATAATTCATATTTTTATTTTGTTTTAAAAACTTTAAATAAAAACAATTTATGATATATATTTTTAAAAGAATCCTTTACTTATATACAGTTTACATATCAATTAATCAGTGTTTCGAACACATTGTGTAATATTAATATGATTTTATTAAAAATACATTTATCAACAGTAGTTATGAAGGTCTCTAATAATGGAATGTAAAGTTATTTTTTAACTTGGTGATTTATCATACATCCCATAGAAACACATGTAAAAAACTTTCCCATAGAAAAAGTGTCTCTCATGTTATCCTATGGAAGCTTCCCATTTTAGAGTATAGTCATATGATTAACACGGGATTCCATGTTAAATGCCATCGTGTGGGGTAGGGTTTGCCTAACGAATTTATAAACCACACTATTCTTACATGAATTGCAGTTTAAATGAGTCATAAGTCTACAATTAAGATAAAGCTACTTACAAGTGTTAGATAAGTGCCCAGTTGCTTTATTTCAAAATATTAATAACATATCAAGTGTATTGATTTATTTAGGTATATTATCTTAATTAGTTTGAATTCACTAGAATTTGTGATTATTATTATAATTAAAATTTTATTATTTTTGATTTTATATTTAGTGAGATTTTTGAATTGAATGAAATTAATTACATTTTTAATATTGTGATATTAGTTAGTGGGGTTTCAAATGTAGAGCATTATTACAGCATATTAATGATATATCTATCGATTTATTGAGTTATGTTAATATAAACTTATCAAGAAGGGATTTTCTAAAATTTTCACTAAATTTTTGCATTAAATCACTAAATTTTGTAATTGCACTTTTTATATACGTTACATAAATAACATTTTTTTATTATTAAAATTGTATGATTTGTGATTTATAAAAACTTAAGGCAACACAGTGTAGTAAAATTTTGAACCTCGTTTTAAATGTGTTTAAAAAATGTATAATTTTAAATTATTAATTTATCTCCATGCCTCTTAGAGAGGTCTTATACTGGAATTAATACTGACTTTACTATAGACACAAAAAGCTTTTTTATCATGTTTTTTAATACCCTAAAAATCCAATCTGCGATCATTATTTTTAAAAATACTAAAGTGCGATTAATAACTGGATAACTAAATTATAAAATAGTAAAAAATTTGGAAATTGATTTCAAATATTTTTGCTTTATTGATAACAAATATTTATGATTTGTAGTATAAGCTAATATCTGTATTATAATTGTGTAGTATTTTTAAAAATTTATAAATACTGTATAAGGAAATGATCATGGGAAATAAATAAATGTTTAAATTGCAAAATATATTGCAAAATATGATTGCAAACTAAACACAACTTTTCATAATTTGTTTAATTAAATTATTAATTTATTTCAAATATTCGCCGATTTGTTGATCAATTAATTTGTGAGCGTTTTTCAAACTCTCGGAATCGTTTGAAGTCGAGGCCCACATATCACTGCAATGATCCCCGCCTTCAATCATAACAGCTTTGGTACTATTATTGAGGTCTTTAAGGACACTGAGTGAGTGCCAGGGGTCGAGTGACCCGTTAGGGAACACCACGTTTGTCACGTTTGGCTTAAGACCCCCGTAATAGGCATTCGTCCGGTCGACCGCTTTCTGTATGCTTTGTGGCGTAAACTGTGGTCCGTATACCTGAGCGCACTGTTGGGTATAATACTCGACGGGAATGTTGTGTTCGAAGGGACTGTTCGGGAGATCACTCGACTGATAGTAACCAAATTCAGTGCACGTCTGATATATCCATTGTCTCACTAATAATAAATTGAAATTAATTTGTTAATAAATAATTAAGTAACACAATGTGAATATTATTATAAAACAAATACTATATTTGATTACATACTCAGTTGAAACCCCATGGGATCTATGGTTGTGTTTTTCAAGGGTGCGATACGATGTGAGTAGTGGTAGTCGTGACATATAGAGCTGCCTATCATTTCGGTCACTTTGCTATACCTTTCCAATGGTGTGCCAATTGATGTGTCATTCATTATACCGCGGATCTTATCGATGCCAGTCTTGGACAGAGCGTTGCTAACAATAGTCCACATCATTTGCTCCGCCAGAAAACGATTATTATTAACGTTTTTGCCGTCAAAAGTGTCGCATAAATTCAATATTTTGCGTAATTTGGTCACACCTTCCGGTGTTTTCAGGAGCTCGTTCATCTCTAGTGAGGCTTTCCTATTGATTTACACAACAGTATTACAAATATTAATTAATAATACAAAATTATACCTTATATTTTCGGAGCACTCCTTTCCCAACGACTCACTCGTAACGCCCAAAAACTCCATAGCATCGACTGCCGCTCTGACGGGTGCGCTCGACGCTATGGCACCGACAGCTATGTTTGGGTACTTTTCCCTAAACCCTATACGAGATTACCCGCATACGAGCCCCCGAACACAACCCATTTGTTACCTTCAAGTGATAACTTTTTGGTCAAATACAGTGCAAACTGTTCCGTGTCTTTGAGTGCCATTTCACTCGACAAGTATTTCAGGTTTTGAGTGGACAGGTCTGGTGTGGGAATGGATTTTCCGTAATACCGGTGCTCTAACACCACTGCCAACGCGCCGTACTTTTTGGCCATTTCTCCCATATATGTTGCATTTGACACCCAAATAGGACTCGCAAAACTCTCACCACTAATCATAAGAAATACCGGTCCACCAGTTTTATAATGAGAATCATCTACATAATACATCTATTCATATATGATATTAATTATATTGCATAATATATTTGTATTTATTTAAATATAATATACCTGTTTAAAAGTTCTGTTGTCTTGTTTATTAAAGTAATCAACTTTTTGATCATAAAACTGTTCGGCAATGAACTGATTCCATGTAATAACTGGTGGTCTAACAAAACCGTATCTATCATTGGGTCGACCATTAAATAGTTTGAAACCACCATTGGTTTCGCTGTAAGCATTGCATACAAAAACAAAAACTAATAAAATATTATAAATCATATTTTTATTATGCTTTAAAAACTTTTAAATAAAAACAATTTATTAAATATATTTCAAAAGTATCTTTGATTTATATACAATTTTAATATCAATTAATCGGTGTTTCGAACACAATGTGTAACATAAATATAATCTTATTAAAAATAAATTAATAAACAGTAGTTAACAAGGTCTCTAAGAATGGGATGTAGTTATTTTTTTTAACTAGGTCATTAATCATACATCCCATAGAAACCCATGTAAAATCTTTTTTCAAAAAAGTGTCTCTAATGTTATCCTATGAAAGCTTTTTATATTAGAGTGTAATTACATTATTAACATAGGATCCCATGTTAAGTCCCATAAGGTTGGGGAGGGTTAGCCTAACGAATCTATAAACCACAATTGTCATACATTAATTGCAATTAAAAATGAGTCATACGTCTGCTGAGTACAATTGAGATAAACTACCGTACTTAACAAAAGTGCACTGGTACTTTATATTAACATATTAAGAACACGATTATCGAGTGTATCAATTTATTTAGGGATATTATCTTAATTAGATTAAATTTAATAGAATTCACTTTTTTCGCTGCACATTTCATTTTTGCATGATTATTATTATAATTTTATTATTAGTGATTTTATAATTAGTGAGATTTTTGAATTGAATAAAATTAATTACATTTAAAATATTGTGATATTAAATTTAGTTAGTTAGGTTTAAAATGTACATAAATGAATACTGTATTGTTATGAGTTAAAATTTGAAATACTTTTATAATTTAATTTATGTATTATTTATTTGTAGTGTTAATCTTTTCGCCCAACTTATAGCTCAATATAAATAATCGCACAAATATTATAAACATCTATAATATAAAATTTATAATTAATATTTTAAATAACAATTAATTGAATGAATGAATGCCTACTTTGAAGGCAACACTTCTGGTGATAACGTATTGATTACTACACGAAAAGCCAATCAATTTGTTTCTATCGCTCACTCTCTCAATGCATACCAATAACTATAAGATATAATATAGATAATTAGCAATTTATAAAATAACGATAAAATAATTCTTACCTTTAATTTGTCTCTTAATTTGATATGTTTTCTGTTTTTATTATAATATTTATTTAGATGTTTATAAATTTTGCTAATATTATAGTTTATATCAGACGTAAATATATTTAGTGTATATATTGATAATAAAGTTGTAATTAATAAAATAATAAAAGTTACTTTTGCTATTAAAATATCGTTATAACTTAATATCAGATATAATAGCATTGCATTGAAAGGTAATAATGTAAAAGTTATAATAAAATTAATATTTCGCCAAAATTTGTTATACATATTAATATCAAAACAAAGATTATTTTGTTTTAATGGTAATTCATTAACAAACGAGTGATTTATTAAAAATATGTCCGAGTTTATATTAATATAATATTTATATCCAATGAATCTGTACTTAAAATAATAACAAACAACAAAATAATAATATATCGTGTATAGGGTAACTGGAAATGTAATTGCTACAAATACCACAATTAAAACAATTCCTATTAAACCATAAACTATTAAATTCCATTGGAAATAATACATTACCATAATAAAAATTAATACTAAAATACTTAAACAAATGATCATTATGAATGAAATTGCCAACAATTTATGCATTGTACGAATTTTATAAATAAATTTTTTAATCAAATGTTTATTACATAAATCAATTGATTGATAAGTTTTATGACCATTGATAGCAAATATTATATCAAACCATTTATAATGACTTTTTGGTGAAAAATTTAGCACGTACAATAACATTAAGGACATAATCAAAAACATCACCACTAATATATATAATATTGATATATTAATGCCTATTAAATGTTGTAACAAATCGCAGTAATAAATGGGTAATGTTTTGTGCGACTGAACTTTGTATAAATAAAATATATAACGAATTATATTTAATATAATTATTGTGATTATTGAAAATACTTTCAATTTTTGTATAATTAGTTGTTTTGTGGAAACAATTGCATATCTGTTGACATCATATCTACAGAATATCCAATACTTATACAACGGTTCGCTTATATCCACACCATTTGACACATCCATTGATAAATTAAATGTTGAATATATTTATACACAATAAAATTTAGTTAATTAATTTATATTAAGATTACTGTATTAAGATTACCATATAAATAGCATTATACTTAAGTGATCTACAGTATTAATGGTAAATTTACATTATAAATACTTACCAGGAACTTTATTTATTACATAATAATATGAACAAAATTAAATAATGTTTGCATAGTTTATGTAAATTTTAATAAATGTAAATAATTAAGTATGGTAATTTAAATAAAGTAAAGTACAAAATACAGCAAACGTTAAATAAATTAAAAGTATAAATTAATTAATATAAATATAACAATATCAATATTTAAACATAACTAGGAATCCAATTAAATGTACATATTTAACCAACAATACTTTTAATCTGAATACACATTATGACATTAAGAAATGACTAAATTGTATTAAAACAATACAATTATAAATCCAAACAAGGATTTCATATAATTACACATGGAATAACATAAATACCATGTTATAATCTAATTTAATAGAATTTAAATCTAAACTATATTTATTATAAGTTATTGCCAATATACATTAGTTTATTAATTACTAATAAAAATTCATGCTTTCAATTTTAAATAACTAATGATTTGTTGTTCAATTAATTTATGTGCATTAATCATGGTCGGGGGATCCGTAGGGGTCGAGGCAACCATATCCCCGCCGTGACCGTAGTTTTCAAGTATAACGGCTTTTGTGCTATTGTTTAGGTCGTTGAGGACACCGATGGACTTCCAGGGGTCAACCGACCCGTTAGGGAACACAACGTTAGTTACGTTTGGTTTTAGGCCCCCGTATGTGGCAACTGTCTGGTTGACCGCTCTCTGTATAGTTTGGGCCGTTATTTGTGGGCCAAATATATCGGTGCACTGTTGGGCGTAATACTCGACGGGCAGGTTGTGTCCAAACGGACTGTCCGGTGCGTCAGTGGTGGGAAAGTCGGCGAATTCAGTGCACGTCATATAAGTCCATTGTCTCACTAATACATGGTGGAAATGAATTTATTAATTAACTGCAAACATGGTTATACAGGTGTGTTAATCAAATTACATACTCATTCCCTTGCGATCAATGGTTGTATTTTGTAGGGACACGACATACTTGTTATGATTCACTTCAACGCAGTCGAGTGTTTGGCCCACGAGTTGTAGTTTTGCATACCTTTCCAGTGGTGTACCGCCTGAGGGGTCGTTCATTGTCTTAACAATCTTATCGACGCCTGTGTTGTACTGGACGTGCATTACGACAGTCATTCCCAAGAGTGACGACAAATACCGATTATCATTGATATTCTTGCCGTCAAACGATTGGCACAAATTCAATGTTTTGCGCAATTGTATCACACCTTCCGGTGTTTTCAACAGGTTTTCAATCTCCAGATTTGCTTTCCTACCGATCGTAAGCAACACATTATATTAAACACATATTATTTAACATTTATATACAACACATGCATACCTGATATTATCGGAGCACTCTTTACCCACCGCTTCGCCAACAACTCTCAAATAGCCCGTACAGTCGTAAGTAGAGCCGACCGGTGCGCTCGACGCTACGGCACCGGCAGCTATATGTGGGTACTTTTGCCTAAACCATGATGCTAGTTTGCCCGCATACGAGCCCCCGAACACAACCCATTTGCTGCCTTCAAGCGATAACTTTTTGGTCAAATACAGCGCAAACTGTTCCAAGTCTTTGAGCGCTAATTCAATGGTCAAGTATTTGAGATTTCCAGTGGACAGGTCTGGTGTGGGAACTGATCGGCCAAAATACCGGTGCTCTAACGTGACGGCCAAAGCGCCGTACTTTTTGGCCATTTGTCCCATAAATGAGGCGGTAGTCAGATAAGCCGCATCCAGTTCTGATTCACCGCTGATCATGAGAAATACTGGTCCACCAGTTTTATAATGGGAATCATCTATGTAATAGAGCTAGCATGTTTTTTTATTAGAATTTGTTATTTAATACTTTGTAAATTATTTTAATATTGAAACACGATTTACCTGTTTGAAAGTTTTGTCGTCCTGTTTATTGAAGTGATCGACTCTCTGCTCAAACCATTGATCCTCCGGTTGTCGAGTGAACTGATCCACTGGTTTAAGAATCGGTGGTCTAATAAAGCCGTGTCTATCGTTCGGTCGACCCATAAATAGTTTGAAACCCAAATCGGGTACACAATAGACATTATAGATGAATACAAAACCTAATAAAAGTATTGTATAATTCATTTTTAGTTATATTATTAAAATAAAAAATATAAATAACAAAAATTAATATTAATTATATTTTTTCAAAGTGTCTCTTTATATATAGTGTTCTCAAGTGTTTATAATTTATTTATCAATTATACAGGTATGTATTACAAGAATTATTTAAATTGATAAGTCTACCGTTGAGATAAAACTACTTAACAAAAGTGCATAGAGTGCTTTATTTCTAAATTTTTAATATATAAAACCATATCCATTGATAGCTTATTAAGTTATAATATCTTAACTAGATAGGAATTTTATTGGAAAATTAGCACTTTTTGTTCTCAACGATAACATTTTATTAACACATAAGATTCCAGCAACTTTATATTTTATTTAGTAACATAGGGTCAAATAACTATGCTATGTTATATGATGTACTACAACTAATGTTAATCTTATGGAAGAAATATTACATCTATAAGTCGTGCAATGATATGTAATGTTAATTCTAGTTAATGTTATTCATATACATATTCTATTAGAATTCTTAAATGTTAAAAATTCTTTTATACTAACTATGAACTTATGTTTATATAATATCCGCGCCTAAGGTTATTATATTTCAATTGAAAATACTGTACATGAATTAAAAAATTGGCAACTTTGCAAGGTGCGTTTAAATTTCTTTTACTTAACATGTATTGTGATTAACTAATAGCTTTTGCAGGAAATTCTTGTTATAATAATTAAATTGTAAATAAATAACATTGTAACTATTGGATAACGGTAATTTAAATATTGATGTTTATTATTATTGATTTTATCAAAAACGCTTCGTTATTTTAGTTCACAAACACTGTAAATTAAAAAAACAATAATTTAATTATTATTGATTATGTATTTATTTTAAATATTCGGCGATTTGTTGTTCAATTAATTTGTGGGCATTTATCAAACTCTGGGTATCCTTTGGTGTCGATGCCAACATATCTCCGCCGTGTGAGTAGTTCTCAATCATAACGGCTTTAGTGCTATTATTGAGATCATTGAGTACACCAATGGCTTTGCAGGGGTCGAGTGACCCGTTAGGGAACACAACGTTTGTGACCGCAGGCTTACGGCCCCCGTAGAGGGCATTTGTCCGGTCGACCGCTTTCTGTATGCTTCGGGCCGTGAATTGTGGACCAAATATATCGACGCATTGTTTGATATAGAAGTCTACGGGAATGTTATGACCAAAAGCAGAGTCCGGGAGATCAGTGGTTCGGAATAAACCGAATTCATTGCACACTTGATAAGTCCATTGTCTCCCTATTAAAAGGTGTACAGAAAAATAAATTAAATTTTTTATTTTATTTATTTTATTATTTTAAAATATATGGTATATCACCATAGCATTAAAATTGACATAAATAATTTCAATTATAGAAATATGAAACTAATTTTAATGATTATTAGTAATAGTTTTTACAAACCCATCGCTTTAGGATCTATAGTTGTATTTTTGGCTCTTTTGATCGCTTCGACATAATTAATATCATTGCAAACAAACGTATTGTCCATATCTGTGGCTCTGGCATACCTTTCCAGTGGTGTACCGCCTGAGGGGTCGTTCATTATCTTACGGATGCCATCGATATTTGTGTTGTACTGAACGATAGTCGCGATATTAAACATCATTGCAGCGATTAATAGCCGATTATTATCGATATTTTTGCCGTCAAAAGTATCGCATAAATTCAATGTTTTGCGCAATTTTAGCACACCTTCCGGTGTCTTAAAGAGCTCTTCCATGTCTTTATGGGCATTCCTACCGGTCATAAATAATATATAATATAAACAATAAATTGTGTATAATATTAATTACATTGATATACAAACTCATACCTAATATTATCGGAGCACTCCTTACCCAACGACTCGCTAACGACTCCAAAATAGTTAATAAAATTGAAAATATCCTCTACGGTAGCGCTCGAGGCTATGGCACCGACAGCTATGTTGGGGTACTTCTCCCTAAACCAGGCCGCGAGAGCGCCCGCATACGAGCCCCCGAACACAACCCATTTGTTGCCTTCAAGTGATAACTTTTTGGTCAAATACAGTGCAAACTGTTCCGTGTCTTTCAGTGCCATTTCACTCGACAAGTATTTGAGGTTTTGAGTGGACAGGTCTGGTGTGGGCACAGATCTGCCGTAATACCTGTGCTCTAATACCACTGCCAAAGCACCAAACCTTTTGGCCATTTGTCCCATATATGTAGTATTGAAATGTACCTGCCTCACTCTCACCACTAATCATGAGGAGTATTGGTCCACCAGTTTTATAATGGGAATCCTCGACATAATACAGCTAAAGTAATCATATAATTTATATAAATTAATTTATGTACAGTATACTGTACTTTATATATATTCTATAACAGTTTATCCATCTCTTTAATCATATTGTTTGTAATGTATTATTCTGTTGTATATCCAAATTATAATTACCTGTTTGAAAGTCGTGTTGTCGTGTTTATTGAAGTGATCGACCTTTTGGTCAAACCAATGTTCCTCTGGTTTTCTCTCAAACAGAGTATCTGTATTAACAACCGGTGGTCTAATGAAACCGTATCTATCATTGGGTCGACCCATAAATTGTTTGAATCCAAAATTGGGTTCACAAAAGACATTATAAATAAACAGAAAGACTAGTATAAGAATCTTTGAATTCATTTTTGAAGTTATTTTTGTGCTTTAAATAACAAAACTATGTGAATTATATTTTGCAACAACTTTTTATAGTTATTGTTTATAACTTTAGTTTAATCTATGTAACAATTGGTATTAATTATAAATAATCTGTAATAAGTCTACAATTGAGATGATAAGTCTACAAACTACTTAACAAAAGTGCATAAGGTGCATGATTTCAAAGCATAATAACTATTACTATTGATTATTATTTCAGTTATAATAATTATTATTATAACTTTATAAGAATTTTACTTTTTATTTAAAAACTGGCACTTTTCATACTAACAAGGATGAACTAAAACTATTTATTTATATTTAATATATAAATTAAATATGTGTGAATAATCATTCTACAAGCTACACCAGTGCCTAATTAAATTAGATATTAATATGATCATTTGATTTAAAATAGCTGATTTAATATGACTTAAATATGATTTATGACATTTATTCATGCAGTAGACTTCCTATCTACTAAACATTATCGGGGGTATATTGTTGGACACAATAATATATAACTTATATAATATAAGGAAGAAAGTGTTATTAAAGTACTGATATTACAATTTTATTATATATAATTATGATCATTTTAAAAGTTTACTTAATAAATAAAGATTTAAAAATGAATACAATATTTTCGACAAATAGTACTTTATTTATTTCAAATATTCTCCAATTTGTTGTTCAATCAATTTGTGGGCGTTTTTTAAACTCTGGGTATCCGACGGACTCGAGGCATACATATCGCCGCCGTGTGAGTAGTTCTCAATCATCACAGCTTTGGTAGTGTTGTTGATGTCTGTGAGGACACTGAGTGCGTGCCAGGGGTCGAGTGACCCGTTAGGGAACACCACGTTTGTTACGTTTGGCTTTAGACCCCCGTAATAGGCATTCGTCCGGTGAATGCCATTCCGTACGGTTTGGGCTGTTATTTGTGGGCCAAAAATATCAACACATTGTTGGATATAATACTCGACGGGAATGTTATGACCAAAAGCACAGTCCGGGAGGTCTGTTGTCTCAAAGTAGCCCAATTCAGTGCACGTCTGATACAACCACTGTCTCTCTATGAATACCAGAAAATAAATACATTTGTTATATTGAAATATTTTACATGTATTATAAAAATTGTACATGTATTTGACAATTTAAGTCAGTGACTTACAATACAAAATTTTAAAACTCATAAATTATGTCTATGCATTCAATTATAATAATAAACTTAATGATTTATGTTAATCAATTACATACCGACTATCTTTGGATTAATTGTAATGTTTTTTACTTTTGCGATATAATCGGCATATTTAACATCATTACAAGCGTTGGTTTGGTTAAAATAATCCCAAGTTTGTAGTTTCGCATACCTTTCCAGTGGTGTACCGCCTGAGGGGTCGTTCATTGTCTCAATGATATGACTTATATTTGTATTGTACTGAACAGTAAGCGCTATATTGTTCATCATTTCTTGTGCTAACCAACGATTATCGTTGATATTCTTGCCGTCAAAAGTGTCGCATAAATTCAATGTTTTGCGTAATTTTATCACACCTTCCGGTGTTTTCAGTAGGTTTTCTATATCCATGTTTGCTTTCCTACCAGTAATACACAAAAATACATAAAATATTGTAATTTAATTATACTTCGTATATAATTCATACCTAATATTATTGGAGCACTCTTTCCCCAGCGATTCGCTAACGACTTTTAAAAAGTTCATATTATTTACCGTAGTCTCTACGGGTGCGCTCGAGGCTATGGCACCGACAGCTATGTTGGGGTACTTCTCCCTAAACCAGGCCGCGAGAGCGCCCGCATACGAGCCCCCGAACACAACCCATTTGCTGCCTTCAAGTGATAACCTTTTGGTCAAATACAGTGCAAACTGTTCCGTGTCTTTAAGGGCTAATTCAATGGACAAGTGTTTCAAATTTTGAGTGGACAGGTCTGGTGTGGGAACAGATCTTCCATAGTACCGGTGCTCTAACACCACTGCCAATGCCCCGTATTTTTTAGCCATTTGCCCCATATATGTTGCATTTGTGAGCCAAAATGTACCAGCCTCACATTCGCCGCTAATCAATAGAAATACTGGTCCACCAGTTTTATAATAGTTATCTCCGACGTAATACAACTAATATAAAATATTTTTTATTTTATTAAAGTATACATTTAGTGGTATTTATTATATAACTTAATACAGTTTTAACTGTTATACCTGTTTGAAAGTCTTATTGTCGTGTTTATTAAAGTGGTCGACTCTCTGCTCAAACCAGTGTTCCTCAAATTGATCGCCTATTTTGCTGACAACCGGTGGTCTAATCATACCATACCTGTCCATAGGCCGGCCCATAACCATCTTGGGTTTACAATAAACATTACATATAAATACAAAAATTAATACAATAACAGAATAATTCATTTTATATTTATGTTTTGATACTTTAAACAATAAAAGTAATATAATTTATGTTTATAAATAATTTCTCAAATTAATTGCAAAAGATTGTAATATAATATATTAGTAATTATAAGAATGTATGTTTAATAAAGTATTAAATTGATAAAGCTAAAGTACTTAATTAACTCATAAAGAATTCAAGTATGCAACTTTTAGTCACTAGTTCTGATCGTACATATTATTAGATAAATATTGAAAATGTTGTAAATTAAAAACTCTAGAATAATTATTCTATTAGTCATGTTGCTTTATTTTTAGAAAATTAATTTCTGTAAGAAATTCACCTTGGTATTTAGTAAATTATCAAATGTGCCATCTTTTTAACCTAAATTTGTATCAAATCTAAGTACAATTTTAGCTAGACATAATCAAACATTTGATAATTTAGATTTAATTTTGTTGTATGTTGCATATTGAATCTAAACCAAGTATCCCAGGTATATTTTCAAAAACCCATTTAGTCATCAAATGGCCTAGGCCGTTTTAGTTGGCATGGACGTGTTTGATATGGTCATCAGATGCATTAAAATAAATTTATTATAATAATAACTTATAATTTTTAATAATTAAATAATTTACAAATTGTTTCCAATTGAATTTAATAGACAATTAATTATTTTTATTTAAATATATTTATAATTTAAATAATATGTTATAATTTATGCTAATACTGAAATATATAGCACAATCATTGTGTTTAATTTATAATAAAACAATAATTTATCATTTATTTCAAATATTCTGCGATTTGTTGTTCAATCAATTTGTGAGCGTTTTTCATATGCTGGGTATCGGACGGACTCGAGGCATACATATCACTGCAATGAACGTAGTTATTAATTACAACGGCTTTTGTGCTATTATTGAGATCATTGAGAACACCGATGGCTTTCCAGGGGTCGTGCGATCCGTTAGGGAACACAACGTTAGTTACGTTTGGCTTTAAACCTCCGTATGTGGCGACTGTCCGGTCGACCGCATTCTGTATGGTTTGGGCCGTGATTTGTGGACCAAATATATCAGTGCACTGTTGGGTATAGTATTCAATGGGAATATTATGACCAAAAATACAGTCCGAGTAATCACTGGTTGTGAAGGATCCCAATTGAGTGCACGTTTGATACATCCATTGTCTCTCTATTAATGCGTAAAAATTAATTCACAATTAGTATTAAAATATTTTATATCGATTATAACAATTTAAATCGGTTTGACAATTGTTAACAGTGTTGCCATACAATTGACAAATCCATAGACTTGAGAAAATTTAGATGAATTACTATCTATCCTTTATATTAATTATATTTATATTAATTATAATTATGTTAATTAATTATTTACCCAATTTGTGTGGATTAATAGTTGTATTCCTTAATTTTGCGAACCGTTCGGAATAATTAACATAATTACAGCCGAAGGTGTCGTTAATGAAGGCCCAGTTTTGTAGTTTCGCATACCTTTCCAATGGAGTACCGCCTGAGGGGTCGTTCATTGTCTCCCCAATTATACTGGAATTTAGCATTTGTTGGACAACACCCGCGACGCTCCACATCATGGTTTCGGCCAACCAATGATTATCGTTGATATTCTTGCCATCAAATGATTGGCACAAATTCAATATTTTGCGCAATTTTATCACACCTTCCGGTGTTTTCAGGAGGTTTGCCATTTCGATGTGCGCTTTCCTATTGATTATAGCAATACATTGGTATAAGTAGTGTAATATTATTACATAGATAAATACAAATCATACCTGATATTATTGGAGCACTCCTTTCCCAACGCCTCGCCAACAACTTCTAAATAACCCAAATTGTTGACAACAGCCCCGACGGTAGCGCTCGACGCTATGGCACCGACAGCTATGTTGGGGTACTTTTGTCTAAACCATGACACCAGAGCGCCCGCATACGAGCCCCCGAACACAACCCATTTGCTGCTTTCAAGCGATAATTTTTTGGTCAAATACAGTGCAAACTGTTCCGCGTCTTTGAGGGCCAACTCAACGGTTAAATATTTTAAATTTTCTGTTGACAGGTCTGGTGTGGGCACTGATCTCCCGTAATACCGGTGCTCTAACACCATAGCCAAAGCACCAAACTTTTTGGCCATTTCCATCATGTACATTTTGTTCGTTAACCAAAATGTACCTGCCTCACTTTCACCACTAATCAATAGAAATACTGGTCCACCAGTTTTATAATGGGAATCCTCGATGTAGTAGAGCTGAAGTAATACACAAATTTTATATATTAATATTATACAGTATGTTATACCTGTATATTATTTAACAGTAAAACACGACTTACCTGTTTGTAAGTTCTGTTATCCTGTTTATTAAAGTGATCGACTCTCTGCTCAAACCAATGGTCCTCAAACCGAGCCGTAGTATTCATATCAACTGGTGGTCTAACCATACCATACCTATCCATCGGTCGACCCATAAACATATTGAAACCCAAATTGGGTACACAATAAACATTACAAATGAATACAAAACTTAAAACAATAATATTATAAATCATTTTATATTTATATTTTAATATTTCAAACAATAGAAATTATGATAATTTATATTTTCAAACTCTGGCTTTATATATATTTTGGTAAACCAATTGCATAACAGTTTTAATCCATCGTATAATTAACTGTAATAATATATGGATAGGCTTATGACAAGATTAGCAAAAGTACTAAACTAACTTATACAAATTATACATGTATATTAATTGGCATTAAATTACTACAATTGAAAATGTGTATTAAACTTGAGCAGATAAGATCGGACACTTGATAATTAATATGTTTTGAAATTTACCTTTGAAGATAAATATTAAAATGCTTTTAATTAAATAGATTATAAAGAGAATCTAGAACAGAATTTCACAATATTATTTATAATTTTAGCAATAAATTTACCTTGGTATTTACAGTACTAGATATAATAGTTTAATCTCAATACGTGGTTGGTTTGTTACCCTGAAACGTACACATGAAAGTTAGAGCTTGTATTAGTCATCATGATATTTAAAATTATCAAGTGTTCCATTTTATCTACCTAGATTTGTACAAAGTTTAAGTAAAGGGGCAGTCAAGTAATCTTGCGGCTCGCGTATTGGCCATTACTCCTAAAGTACAAGAGATAATTAGATTCTGTAAAATGGATATAATAGAGAATTATCGGGGAAATTTTTTGTATATTTC